CCCCCCCCCCCTTTTTTTTTCCTCTGTACTAGAATTTGTGCTTACTGAAAAAAATGTTCTCTTCATCCTAGGTACTTTGTTGACGACTCATTCCCCAACTCCAGTAGCCCCTCATCCAGTCACTATGCCCACATATCGGGCTCCAGGAACACCAACCTATAGTTATGTGCCCCCACAGTGGTGATCATCCTGGCAGTCATTGTAAGTTGCTGATTTAGGTTGAAAGCAGTTAATCTTTCTTATAAATGACAGCATTGCTGGTTCTTGGGGGAAGATTTTTCAGAAGGTAAGCAGTCTGGGGTACATCTACAATATTCTAATTGAGTAAGAATACACAAAAATTATTGCTTATGTAATAGCTGTTCCCTGCAAAGGAGAGGAGCCTAGTGGGACTTCTTCAATGGTCTTAATATCTTCAGAAATAATTAATAATTTTCATGGTTCATGATTGTTCAAGGTAAAAGAATGAGCCTCAGGTATGCCTTATGAAAATACATCTGGGACTAAATGTATTGAGTAGTTTGAATTCACTGGTAATTATGTGTATAACTTTGTAGTCTTATTTTTGATTGGCTAAATATGTTTTGCCTTGCTCTGAGAGTGAATCTTTCTCAGAAGTTGCGGAAACAAATAAACAATCTTGAGTTAATTTCATATATTCACTCTGTTTCAGGTAAGTCTCAGTTCATACTGCTTGCAGTCAGCATGGAAAAATCATTTCTAGTGTGGACCAAAATTTAGATCATGTGTTTCAAGAGAAGGAGTTTAATTTTGAAATCTGCTGTAGGGTGGGGTGGATTTTGGAGGCATAATATGTGTCAGACTGACATAAAGCCCAGTGTTCTTGGGATCCTCACTTCTTTTTTTTTTAGCATAAATTGAGAACAGTTTCATTTGGAATAAGTACTTGTCAGACCAACTGACCTGGAAGTTTCACTTTTAGTCCATTTAGTTTATGACAAAGTTAACATTGTTTTAACTTTCTCTGGATTTCTGTTTCAGCGGTTAGTAGTCCAGAGTTCTGTGATTACAGGTGAATGTATTCCCTTTGAGTTAGTAATGCAACAGCCATCTTTCATTTTGCTGTGATGCTACATGTCAGTCTGCAGATCTGAAACATTTCACATGACACTCTTCGATGAAATATTATAGTACATGAGTATAAAAAGTGAGGGCTTTGCTGTGGCTAAACTCATGACTGCTGGTAAGGAACTTTAGTATAAAATACCTTTTTAATATTGTACCTTCTACTTAAGACAAAACTACTAGTGATGATAGAAGGCTGGAATGGATGTGACAGGAGAAAAGCAGTGTAGTGAAATTTTGAACCAGAAGCCTATGAACTTCAGTTGGCTGGATAAGTACTAGGGTAACGTCATATAATACTTAACATCTGTTGGGCTTGCATATCGATCTGGTGCATGCAATGTTAGAATGCTCTGCCACACTCAAATAGTATTTCGCATAATTGAGAATATTCCCTACATTTTTCCCCCCTCTTAACGTAGGTTTGAAGATGGGAGATATGCAATCAAGAAATTGAGGTTTAAAAGTTGGTGCTGAAGCCCTCATGCCTCCAACCAGGACTTTTCTTCTGAATGCTTTCAACACTTGGCTAAACACTACTAATTCCTGATCACTGAAGATTTTCCAGTGCTGCATATCTTACATCTTGGAACTCCAGCAGTTAGTCTTAAAGCAAATCCTGTTTTGTGGACTGTCTTGCAATTTTTTAGCTAATTATAACGATAAAAAGGGAGTATAAATTTATTCTGATCCATATCTAGTTGAATGCATGTTAAAACACAAAAACAAAGCTTGCTCAATCTACCTGCAGTGACTGATGCAAAAACCATCATATGCAAATCCAAAGGAACCGAAAAGTATTTTACAACTTGTATCACTAATGCACTGTTGTATGCAGGGTCTTACGGTAGAATCATGAAAGTGAGTTTCGTTATAGAATACCATAATATACATTAGAGAAGTGCTTCAGCCTTTTTCAGGTTGATGGAGTTGCCAGCTTAAAAGGGGCATATTTTTATTTAAGTGATGTATTCTTTTCAAATTCAACTACTAAATTGGAGTGACTGGAAAATGAGTCAGGTGAGCTGTAGAAATCCCGCACACAATTAGTTTCCTTCATACCTTTTCATTTTCATTACATGGATTCAGTGTTATACAGATGTTCTTAAGGATCAGAATGAAATGACAAAGGTAACGCTGTGTGTGCCAGTAAATAAAGCCAACTTCCTTGAGGCAAAACTGGCTCCTAGGAGCAGTAGGAGGTGACATCACCTGCATAATGAATTGCATGTCCTGGGGAGATATGTATCCAGTACTATCTTTCATATGGTGCAAGATGTGTCAAAGTGAGACTGCCACACAGACTGATAGAAAGACTTTTTTAGTTCTCAGTTCAGGAAATCCATGCTTTTTTTCCTAAAGAATATTGTAGTCTGTTGAAAATGTATGTGCAGTTGATCCAGCTTGCTTTCCTGAAACTTCAGAAACGCTTGGGCTTTCGTCAGCAAACAGGAGTTCAGCTGCATGTTATTCTGAGGAAAGCTTGTGTGCCTGGTGAGTGTGTTAAAGGGGAGCAAATCATTTTAACACAATTTCCTTATTAGCTTTTTGCAGTATGGACTATGGATATGCAGTAGTAGGACTGCCGGAATATAAAGATTTCAAATAGCTGTTGTTTGGGTTTTTTTTCCCCTGAAAATATTTGTAATTGACATAGGAGTCATTTGTTGGTCATAGCATTTTGGCGTATATTCCTAGTATTTTCTTTTTTTTATTTCCTAAATTGCACTTAGAAGCACGTAAAATAAGACTGACTGCAGATCAGCATTTCATTGCGATGAGTCATTTCTGATATTCTTTCTTGCAACTTCGATTTTTAAAAAGTACCTCAAAGCGAATGCTGTGGGGATAAAGGGCTAGCCTTAGAACCCATTTGTATACCAAAATTGTTACGGAGGAGATTTTAAATTTTTAAATTTGAATATTGCACATAAAATCAAGGTTTTTCTTAAACCTGCTTGACTTAACAATTCCAGAAGGATGCAATTTGCTTTTTTTGGATACGTTCTGCCTGCAATAAATTATTCAGTAAATGGCTATAAAATGTTGTTCCCTTTTAAGTGTTTACACAGGTGTATCAGGCTGTATTGTTCTTGTAGGTTAACTTCCATTCAGAAGTAAATTTTTTTAGGTTGTATGTCTAGTTATGCTTTGGTTTGGGGTGTTCTGCTCCTATACAGATTTGGCAGCTACTTCAGGGTATCATCCGTGCTGATTTAGTGCTGCCATTCCAGTACTCTGCCCTGGTGGGAGGCGTCTGTACCTTCATGACCCATTGGTGGTTAGAGCCTTCAGTAATTTTATTTTTTACAGCACTCTTCATTGTTTTGTACTTCATTTTTTTTTGTTTAATAAAGTTTAGGTTTTGTTTTGCATGAGTCACTGTCAGTGGACGGCCCCCGTATTTCTAATGCCTTGAACATAACTATGTTGTTGGAATAACTACTTTAAACCTTCCTCATGAGCACTTACTGTAGTTTAGGGATTTCCATATATTTTTTATGGAGCAGAAAATTACCCCAGACAAACTTATTTGAATCTGTGCTTCTTTGTTCAAGTCTGTTTAACAATTCCATTTGTGTAGTAGATTTGGAGCTTTGATTAGTCAGGTGTGCCAGAGAGTACCGTGAACATTAGTACAGGCCATTTGTCCATTTTAGCTAGTAGAGAGTGACATCTTGTCTTAGCATGATTTTAACAAAGAGCTGAGGTATGAAACAGTGCTGTATTGGGGAGAAACTATAAAGAACCAGCTGAAAGCTTTGCTGTCTCCTGTCTCATCACCCAATAAACTAAAGCTTTGAAAATCATAGGAGAGAACTTTTCATGAATGCTGCAATAGATGAATAGTTAAGGAATGGATATAACTTCTTATGTATTTGCTCTAACTTCAGATTCCTAAATGTCATCTTGGAATTGGTCTCTCTATAATATTCCGTAACATTTAGGCAGTCTCACTTACTTGAGCACTTTTTTTTCCTCTAAGTTGCATTATGGGATTCATCTGTGAGGGGGAAACTGTACCTTTTTTTAAAGGTACTACACCTTCCAGTTTTGGTCGATTATAATCTACTGGGAGGGTGGAGCATGTCTCCAGTAGTTGATATGGAAAGTAACCAAAAGCACAGTGCAGGGGGACGGGGGGAATATGTGTATATATAACTATCTTAATGGTATTTTGTTGCAAATAGTAGAAAGCATGGATATAAAACTGCGGCGGGGGAAACTGTACATCATTAAATAGGCGTTTACACAGTGAGGGTCTTATGAAACATTCTCTCCTGCTTTTTATATAACATTCCCTATTTAGAATTCCTTTATAAATAAATAAATACGCAGTATGTGTTTGCACTACAGCTCCTCAGCAAGTGAAAAGAGCTAGTGCATTAGACACATTTCAGATCAAGCTTCTCTTTAAAAAAAAAAGACAAACTTTTATGGCAGCTTTATATGATTAAAAAAAAAGTACTACTTTAAACCTGGAACTGAAAATAACTGTTGCAGCAATAACAGAGAAGTCCAAGAAGGATTTTTTTTTTTTTTTGTAATTCAAATTTCAGGTGTTGAGTTTAGATAAAGTATTTTTAAAAAACTGAGGTATTCCCTATGTCAGTAAGAACTGATGAAAATGTCTTTTAAATGTAGCAGCAGCAAAAGAGAAATGGCTAATAATTGGCACCAAGAACATGTAGCCCTAGTCAGTGCCGTGGTGGTTATTCATGAAACAGTAGGAGGGAAAATGGAGAATCTACTACTAGATCTTGCTTATGCTTGTTGTAACCATCTCCTGTTAGAAGTTTCTGGAAGATGTGCAGCAATGCTGTTCAAGAAAGCTTCTTTTTGAGTGTACTATGCAAGCTAAATGGCTTAGATGCAGTGGTAGATAAAAAAATCCTTTATTTTGGTTGAAGTCCTTCCTTGTATTGCTTCATGCACTAAAAAAAAAAAAAAATCTGAGTACCACCATGTCTTAGTGTTGTCTGAGAATAGTTCATGGTACAGAGTTGTATACCAGGGTACTCAACATTGACTACTCTTCACAGAGCATTCTGGCTTCACTGCTGCTTGAGTAGTAAGGCCACTTAAGGTATCAGAGCAAGAGATGGTCAGAATTGACTTGGAATCACTCCCCAGTGCTTAAGCACAGTGTAATACACCATTGATTTGGATTTAGAACATATCTTTGCTTGAATAGGTAAGCACAGCGACATGATACCACCGCTTAACTCTAGGCTTAAACTCATGCCAGAGAGTAGTAAATACCATGTATGGGAAACCTCCCATTTTAGGAACATGAACAGTAGTGATGCTTCAGCTGGAACTTCTTGTGGGAAAGAGGATGGGTGCTGTGGTGGTCGAATGGTATCTGCAGTTGCACAGGATGTGGTTTGTGCAGTAGTCAGTAGGAGATAGGCACGACCCGTGTCCAGCCTGCCCCAGCAGGTGTCACTGGCCAGCTGTAGCATGTGCAGAGGGTCACAAGCGATCCGTTAATCCTCATGTCAAAGTGTTTGTGAACAGCTGTTCAAAAGACATAGATTTAAGCTCATCCAGATTGTTCTCATTAATGTGTCAGCTCTCTAATCCTGTATTTTATCAACTCTAAGCTTCCTGCAGAGACCCTCAGGTTTGACGAGGTAGAATGCCAATTAACAGGAACAACTGCAGCAAGGTTAGGATAGTTTTGTGCATCAAGCCTCGCCAAGAATCGAGTTCATTCTGAGATCTCCTCTGAAGTAGTGAGGTCTCCTTCAGCAGGCTGTGTACACTTCTGTTTGGGGGGATGTTGAGAGAAAATAAGGTGTGGTTTGTGCACAGAAGAGAGGGAAGATGAACAGTGCTTATCTGGGGACAAGGAAACCTTTTCTTGTGTGGGTTGAATATAACACTGAAACAAACATCTGAATTCCACAGGTAGTGAGGGTCCATTTGTGATTTTAAAAAATATTCTAAACAATTTATGGGCTCTGAAGTTTCAACTTCAAGAAAGCGAACATGACTTTTCTAAACTGTTGTGACTTTTGGGCACTTAGCAAGCAAACTGGGAAAGCTTTTTTAGCTGGCTGCTGTACAGACTTGTTTTAAGTAGAATGGATTTGTTAGTGGGTTTTTTTTATTGTAATGCTATTATTGGCTGCCCTCATGTCTAAGATTTGAAAAAGTGAGTGCATGCAATGGAAGTACAAGAGGCCCCAGTAATAGTTCTCTATGTTTGTTATGAAATAGACACAAGTTTCCTTTTTATGACTTTTTTTTAAAACTGTCTTACGAACAGTTGTATTGGTACTTTTTTTTAAGTTTAGGTCAATGTTGTCTTCCAGAATAAGTTTTAAGGCATCACTCACTCCTGCATTGAACTATTACGTCAACATGTAGAGTGGAGATTCCATTCTGAGCCAGTTCAATTGTGAAAATTCATAATTTTTTATTTTTTATGCAATTCAATGAGTAGATGAGCTCAGATTTAAATTCTTAAAAGCACGTTTATTGTAACAAGAATTGTTATGTATTAATACTTCAGTTTTCAATAAAGATTGACTTGTGTTGCTTATTGTGGTTTTTTTTTCTGTTGTCTTTGGTGACTTCCTTTTAGAAAAGATTGTGTTGCTGGATAGTAGTATGGTGTGTTAAAACTTTAAGGTAATGAAATCTGGTGATTGAGCAAAGCAAAACATTTAAATAGGTTAAGTGACTTTTCTCAATAAGGTTTCTTAATGGCTAACAAAACACAGCCGTAAAGGCTTCCCTCAGTTCCCCTGGGGAATAAGGCGCCCTGCCTGAGAGTGTGGTAAAGATGGTGCAACCCTGCCTCATTCCCTTTTGAGGCATTTCCTGGGGCTTGAGGTTTCTTATTGTTTTATAGTTTAAAACAAAGAAAATGAAACAGATGTCAAATTTCACAATGCTTTAGCATTTACCTGATACCGAAACAATGCTGTCTCAGAGTTGACAGGTCTTGAGCAGAAAGCTGTTATAAATCAGTGTCTTGAGTGTTCCCCAGAAGGAACTGAGTAGGTGTGAGGTGTGGGTAATTATCCTCTTTCTTTAGAGTGTGGGTGGCTTTAAGTGATGCTAATGTTAAAATGGAAGTATGTATATTTGGGGGGGGGGGATGGGACT